GATAATTCAATGCATCCCAACTCCCAGTAGTTAAAGAAGAATTAGTTGCTTCATGGGAGGCAGTTGAAGAGTCCTGTAACCCAACCAGTGGTACAGGACCAGGTGATCTATAGATGCCGGAAAGACAATCTTCAGAGGAAAGGAGTGACGTCCATTCATCAGTGTCTAAGAAAGGAAGAAAGCAGCTTAAACTACTACTATCATGTTGCGCTACCTGCACATGATGAGCTTGGAGGATCGGTGAGTTCAACTGTGACTGAATTGTACATAGGTTGTGCTGCAATTGGGATGCAGTCTGGCTCTCGTTAGGGAAAGGAAGTTTATCCTCATTATATTCTGATGTTGCTCCTAGCTTGTGTTTGGCCTTCAAACTTGTTTACAGGATGTGGGTTCCATGGCCATTAGCATGATTTTTTTGCATATTTGTGGGATCAGGTTGGTCAAGTGCTAACTGGGAAGGGTTATGGTTCTCGTTAGGGAAAGGAAGTTTTTGATTGCCTGTAGACTGCATATTCTTTATCTCATCTAATGGAAATACCTTTGCAGCGGAGATATGTGAAATGGATGCAAAAGTCCCAGGATGGTTAACAAGCTGAGGGCTCAGCATTATCTTCATCAGCTGTTTGGAACATGAGTTTGTGATCAAATATGGAAGACTCCCATGTCCATTTCCAGGGAACTGGAGGAAGGGCCTTTTGATCAAGTTTCCCCATTCAGATTCAGTTCCTGTTGAACACACAAAAAAAGGACTATATAAGTACCTAAAAATGTTCCCACACTACTCTGCATAACAAACATAAGCTTACCCAAAATTCCGTGATGTTGTGGCTATTTGGGACCTGAAGTTCTATAAGGAAAAATAAAGAGGTTTTGAGGAGTTTCAACTTCCCATGCGCTGATCCTATTCTGTTTGTTGTTACATCCAGGCTCATCCCACTCAACCTGTTTAAAGAAAGGATATAAGTTCATTATGAAGCCAAGAATCTTGTTGCAACAAACACTATTCAGTTCAATGAAAGAACCTGAAGGTTTCTCCAGTTTGAGCCAGGCCATCTCAGAGGATCCAAGTCACTATTGTCAACTATTGTACCCATATATCTGCAGAAAATTGAGAAATATTTACAGATATATCGATAGTCTGATATGTATTGGATATATGCTAGACTTCAATTTACAAAAACTTTATTATCATACATTGTCAAGAAACAACATGAAATACTCCTATAGTATTTCTATTTCCCTTTGTGGAAAAGTGTGGGAAAGATTTGACAATCCAACATATGCTTCATCAGTAGTGCCTTGACAGCCTCAATGATCTTTATAACCCAAATTTCAGTAGCATTTGAAACTAGTGGAGATTTACCTATGTTTCCGGGTTTCTTTTGTTTCAAACATCATTCCAAACCTCATACCAATCGAGACTTGAGATCCATAAACAGAGTTATAGTATTTAGCCACAGGGATGACAAATTCTGAAGGGTAGCCTCTACAAAAAGAAGGATGAGAGAGCAGTGTGAAGAAATAGACAAAGGAACCTTGAAGAGTAGAAAAGAGGAAAATGTAGGATGCAAATGCTATTAAGGCACCTTGGATTATAGAAAATCGTGAATGGGCTTCTATTTGCAGCAGCGTGAGCAGCAGCAGCAAGGACTCCAATGTGCATGCTATCGGGAGATAGAACTGATAATGACATTGTTGTTTGCTGACAATTTGCATGCCTAACACCCACCAATAACTGTGATTTCTCATCCCTTGCAACAGTAAGAGAACCGTGAATTTAGTATAAAAATGTGTTGCATCAAACAAATGCAATGCAAGTGTATAGCTCAAAAAAGTGCAGCAAGTGAATAGCATACCTGATAAAAAGAAAGAATCCCCTGCCCTAAGCTTTTTTGATCCAACAAACGAACTCCACCAGTTGTAAGAAGATGTCGCTTTGGCTTCCCTGCATAAAACAACATGCATGATTCTCAAAATCTTGTTCACATTGTCAATATGTTTTTAATAAATTCACTAGGTAGACATTACAATAACGTGAATTTTATTTTCAACAAATTTTGTAGTTCTAATAGATTGCTTTCTGAAACAGAACGTAAATAGTTGAAACACTCACCACGGTATATATAGCGAAAAGTCCAGGTATCATCGTGAAAAAAAGGTAGTAATGTGATTTCACTAATGGTACCGAGGAAAGAGCTTCTCTGCTTCTGCGTGGCACTGAAAAACCACCGTCTGTACTTTTATCACTTGCCGTCAAAGTTTTGCAAAAAAATTCATTTCGATGCTTTCTGGGGTTTACTCCAAAGTCTGGTATATGAAACACTTCTTTTTCCTAATCAATTGAAAACTTATGAATGAGAATAGTGTCAAATATTCAAGGCTAGCGGCTTATCTTAATGGTATAATTTTTTTTTAACATTTACTATCTAGGATATTAGTAAGAGTTTCATATATATAAATATGTCACATTAGATAATCTCACAGAGTTCACTGGTTGAAGTCTCATTGAGCATAAATCTCATCTGTATCTCTGTCTGCCTGTCATTATCGCAAAGATGTAACAGGAAGGTTTATTTATGAAAAGATAGCAAATATCATTTCTAAGCTTAAGTGACATACATGTCTCTATGAAACATAAATAAATAAATCACATACTACATGGTGTAGCATTGTGAACTTGGCACATCAACTGAGATGGAAGATTTGGGTAGTTGGGAACTTGAGAGGTCATCATTCTTTTTGTGGACATGGATACCTGCTCAAAAAACAAACTTAGTCTTCTGGTTCGTGATTATGCAAAAAACAACCATTGGCACCGAGTTCTAGCCTCTCTGGTATTATTTATTAGTATAATACAATAGGGCACGATATTGGCACACACTCCTTCCAAGTTCCATCTCAAAATAAACCGGTAGCAGAAGCCTAATATGTCAATTTTGCAATCCAAATGATGCATCCAGTGCAGTATGTGGATATGCTCCTCATTTACAGGAAAATGGGAATTTATCATTCTCCACTGTCATCAGAATTAAATGAGCCCAAACTGCAAATGAAGAGGAAGACTACAACAGCCGCCGTGCATGCTAAGGTTTCATTATGTTAATCCCAAGTTAACTACTCAAATATCAAAGACTTGTTTCCCCAGGTCGACTTATTCCTTTTTCTGATTCTACTAGTGTCCCATTTGTGTTAATAAACAAGCGAGGGTAAAAAAATCAAGGAAAAGAATCCAATAGGTAGAAAAGCTAGGGGAAAAAGAGCTGGTCTTATCTTGCTGGAGGCAAATATCAAGTGCGAGAAATAAGTGCAAACCTGTTCACTGTGTCCTTGAGGGAAGTAATAAACAAGACTCCCTACCTGAGGCAATGAAACAAGTGGACCTGCGCAGGCATGCCATAATTCCGACTTTATATCCTTCCTGGTCCCTGCTATTCATCAAAAAAGCAAATCCCATAAGATGCCATACATGTTTCAACAGAGATTAGACATTGTAATGTCGAAGACTTTAAATTGGTCTCTATTAAGGCCATCCAACGACTAACATATCCTTGTTTTATTCTGGAAACAGGAAAGTAAATGTATTAAAAAAAGAACCATGCTTGAACCCAATGTGGATCAAGAAAGTAAGTAGATGCCTGCATAGACCATAGTATAAAAGCTCGACGCTAATTGTCTCGTCTTTTAACACATGAGCAAAAGACAAAATTTCAATAACTAGACGAAGAAACACAAACCAGACTGATGTTGCGTTTCTTTCAATAACTTCATTTGCTCAAGCAGAGTGATCTCTGCCCATCCATTAACCAAAACTCCAGCTTTGACCTCTTCAACAACGGAACCCATAATGTGGTGTGTTCTTTTGTTAAAAGACTTTCTTTTTACACTCTTTTACAATACACAAAGCAAAGAATCCACGTTTACACCTTCACTTGTAAAAATATTGACTTCGAAAACGATAAGAAGCAACTTACTTGGTACTTACATTGTAATCAAGGGGTAAAGAAATTATCAATGGGAAATGGGGCCTCGTGAAACACTAACAACAAGAATCCATACGAATTGGGTAGAAATGACCTTTTAGGCTTTTAACCCCATTCCCGTCCACTCCCTACAACATCCCCATCAGCAGAGTTCAAAATCCAGAACAAAAAGTAAGAAAAAAATGCAAAAAGAATAGGGAACAACACTGGAAAGAAAGATCTTCCGTTACGTGGGACTTTTGGTATAAACCAAAAAAAAGGAAAAAATCTCCCCTTCAGTTAAGCTAGAACAACTAACACTACAATACGTAATCCTTTACCGTCACCGACAATAAGCTTACTCGTGCCTTGAAACGTAGCACTATCCTCAACAAGTGTTGCATCAGTTGCGATATGATGTGTCGCCCCAGAGTCAACACACCACGACGCTTGTAGATCTTCACTCAACCGAGAAAACCAAACCCACGGTTACATTCACCAACAAACGTTGCCCAAGCTGCTCTTTCCCCAACAAAACCACAGAGTGACCGGAAGCAGTGGAATTGTAACGACACACATTCATCAAAGGAGTCGTGGAATGACTCGAACCATCATTCACAACCCCCATAGCCCCACACCCGAAAAAGACTTACCAAACATGTACCAACAACGATCGTAGGTGGCCGAGCTTGCCACACAGCTGGCACTAAAACGGGGCTGACCACCCGTGGCGGATTTAAAAATTTAAGAATAGGTACAAAATTTTAATTATCTTTCTTTAAAAATAATGTGTAAGCAAAAATTATATTTTTTTTCCTGACACATTGCTTAGTGCATGCGCCACTGCTGACCACCACGTCCTCTCGTACCTTGAGTATTAGGACAAGTCCTTCCCCGTTTCATCTGTTTCACTTGTTGTGGCAGCGAACCAGCAGATTCATGTACCAAATCAGCAGCACAGAATCATTTCTAACGGCCAGCTTCGGCATCCACAAGTAGCAACAACACTATCAAGGGAGAAGGGCTTACGTCTAGTGGTGATCACATAACAAGGGGCACCGGAGCACCGTTCAAGATGGTGACGATCTGTTCGTAATCGGACACCGGAGCATCACAAGTGGAAAAGGCATCACAAATCTCATTGACTTGCGCAATGTATGTATGCATGGATAAATCACCTTTCCGAATCAGTTTCAACTTGTAATGGAGATTCACGATGGTGGACGAAGACTTGTTCGCAAAAAACTGAATGACCTTGGACCAAATTTCAATCGTTGTCTCAACCCCGACGAGATGAGAAAGAAATGGATCGATGGTGGACAAAAGCCAAGAAGCTAACGCACTACCTTGTGCAAAAAAAACTTCATAAGCATCATTATCGACGACACGTTCATCATCAAGGGTCACCGTCGAACAAGGAGAAGGAACACTACCGTTGAGGAGTTTTTTCCAGCCGATGATTGCGCATGATAAGGAATATATGCTATTCCACAACATGCAATTAGACTCATCAAGGGTGACACTCACGCATTTATTTGTGAACATGTTATCACCAGAAACTCTCGAGCCACCAGATATTGGCATAACCAGAGAAAAACGCAGCGAAGAAACGACGTAAGAAAGAAAACCTAGGACCCAACTAGGATACTATGTTGACTTTTCAACTTCCTTTAACTTTTCTTATTGCAGAATCGAAAAAAGGTACATTATTAAGAAATGACTATTCTGTAAATAGGCTTCAATCAGTCTCCTGCTAACAAACCCAGCTATACACTAACTGACGTCACCTAACAAACTCATCACACTTATGGTTTTTACTTTTTGCGGCAATATTGAGATTGTCATGTATGTAAGCAATCACATTTTCTCAGGTTTTTACTTTCGAAAATAATTTGGGCCGAACTTGACCGATAAATGGTTTGGACTACCACTACACATTCACAAAATAAATAGCCAAGTCAGCGCAAAAGGCCTTGAGGTATTTGTACAAAATAAGCATTTTTGAGGAACCCAAGAAGCTCTTTCTGTACTCATGTAATAAAACGTTGGGTATTTTTTTGTTAATCTAGCTGAAACGTGGATTAATATGGCTTTGACATTAATAATAATTAGTATGGCTTCTGCCTTCGCATATGATAAAGCCTTTTTGTACCCCAAATTATTCACTTTTGCATTTACAGTTCCCAGATTGAGTCTCCTCTCCCAAAACAAGATAACATTTCTTCTAGATTTACTCATCAATTTATTCGTTGAAGTAGTCAAAGTTAATTTGTATCTTATAGCAATTATGTCTGTGCAAGGCTATTTTTTTTTTTTGAAAAAAATGGTACTTTGTATTAATGAAGATTACACAAAGTACATCATCCCAATGATCTCATTAAAAAACATTCATAAACCTATACGAAGGAAAAAGAGTGAACCTTGGAATAAAAAATAAGAAACGGCCATAGTCCCTGTTACAACGAAGCATAAACCAACACTAAACTACTAACGATATAACTAAAGACAACTCCCCATAGGAAATCAGAAAGAACAAACAAATCCAACCAATAACACAGCGTGCTGCAGCCTCAGAATATAAAACATTTGAGCATATGTCTTTCTATGGATATAGACAAAACAACACAACTAAATATAGATAGGAGAGATGGAAAGACTGAACCCTGGAAATTAGAACATAATACATGCAAGGATAAGCCTTTGCCCAATTACATCGGGAATGAGACGAAACGGGAAGAGAGAACAAGAACAGAGGGCAGAGGAGAACATACAAGAAGGATCCGTAGCCACTAAACCAGTTTAAGCGGCACCTTCAAGCTTACGAGCTCACAAATGTGGAGCTAGTGCATTTTATAGTTCGAGATTGAAGCTTGTTCATGATAAGAAATTGCGAAAGAAAGCAGCGAACCAACATGGTTGCTGATCTGAAGTCACCGATAGGAAGGCTCACGGCACAATTCAAACCGATGACAAGCGCTCATTGTAACAGTAATGGAGATTTCTTGGCGAAATCTGCACTAGCTTCACCGATCAAAATCTTCGTATCCTTACGGCATTCGACCCTGGTGCCAAGGTCAAACAATGTACGGCTGGAAAACCCGTATCAATCTTATCCATTCGCTTCTTGGCAGCTGGCTTTAAACTTGATTTCCTAATTCCATACTACCATACCTGAGCTGAGACTGTCAAAGATATATCACAGTGCCTGATTCACAATCATCGAACACCACGAACAATGGCTTCCGGGTTACTTACAAAGTCATTCACTTGAGGGAGCATCGGCCATAAATAATTCGCCCAAACCCCTATCTGAAACATAGCTTTATAATAAATCTGGTCTGACGAAAAGGAAATTCTATTAAATCTGGATTATTTCTGTAAATCCAGATTGCCCAACTCAACCCAAAAAAACCATTTACCATAGAGCCCGAACTCTCCTCTTTATTCTTTGTGAAAACCATGCATCTAGTAATTGTTTAATATTGTTTGGGAACACCAAATATACTTCCCCCACGCTACACCAACGTTGCCAAACTTTTCAAACTACATAACAATTGCACAGAACATGATTAATAGCTTCCGGCTCACTTTTGCAAAACAGGCAGTAAGATTGATCGCTACAGACAACTCCTCTCTTTACCGGCTCTAACATGACCGGCAGTCTCTGATGAACTGCTTTTCACACAAAAACAAAAACCTTTGACGGAGCAAATTTAAACCAAACCAGTCTCCAAATTGGGTCTTCAGTCAAACCATCGCAAGCCATTTTAATACAACATGCTTTCGGATTGTAACAACCATCCCGCGCTCCAGACCAAACTAATCTGTTAATACCTTGTTCAAGATTAGGGATGGCAATGGGTCGGATCGAATTTTTTGGCTATTCGACCCGACCCGAGAAGAAAGAGTCCTCCACCCGTGACCGGACCTGACCCGAAAAAATTAAGGTTTCACCTGACCCGACAAAAAAAAAAATTATTCAATAAAAACAGTGACTTAATTGAAAAAAATTATATATATAGAGGTATTATTGTAATTATCCCTAAATATATAAGGTAAAATTATATATATTTTTCGGGTCGGGTCGGATTTTTTTCACCCTAAACCCGACCCGACCCCACCCCACCCCAATTTTTTTTTAAAAAAAATCTGATTAGATCGGGTCGGGTTCGGGTTGAGTTGACATCCCTATTCAAGACTAACTGCTCAGTTCAAAAACATTACAAAATTCGTTCCAAATCGGTTTTTCCCATTAAAAAAAAAACTCTTCTCAACTCAATCCTCCATTCTCATACACCATGCGTCCAACATCCGAAATCCCTGATCTTTCCACTTTTTTTTTCCCGCTAAACCAAATATTCTTGGAAAAGCCTTTTTCAGAGAAACCTTTTCTGTACAGTAATCTGTCCAAAAATCAATCTTATTTGTGGAAAAATCAAAAGCAGTCGGCTGCTAGGCTGCTGATTTTTTGTTTTTTTTATTATATTTTGTTGAATTATGCAAGGGATAATTACAACATTAATCATGTACTTTAGGGTATTTACAAGATTAGCCCTTAGGTTTCAACTATAAATACCCTAGCTCATTAGCTTCAAATCATCCCAAGCATTCTAGCTTTCTTCCAACTAGAGAATTTAGAGAGTTTCTTGAGAGTTGTTTTCCTTTCTTTTATCAAGAGAGAATTATCATTGTTTTCTCCTTGGTAGATAGAGAAAAGTTGTAATTCCTATTTTCTCATAGTGAAATTCTTCTACCGTTGCCCGTGGTTTTTACCCTATATTATTTAGGGGTTTTTCACGTAAATTTTGTGTCTCTTTTATCTTCAATTTTATTTTCTCAAATTATCAGTTGTGATTTTGCTCTATCCGATAGCCGTCTTCCGTAACAATTGGTATCAGAGCTAGATTAGAGTGTGTAATATCTGCTTATTGTCTTTGTGGTTGCCACCAAAAGGTGGATCCTCAACATAAGAAAGTAAGAAGGTATTACCCATTCTTGAAGGTTCCAGAGAACTATTCACGATAGTGAAATAGTGGGAGCTATCCGTAATAGAAGCTATGACAACGAAATTTGATATTGAAAAATTCAATGGGAGAAATTTCTCACTGTGGAAATTGAAGATGAAGGCCATCCTGAGGAAAGACGGGTGTCTAGCGGCTATCAATGAAAGGCCGGTGGATTTCGCAGATGACAATAAATGGAACGAGATGGACGGAAAGCTATGGCAAACTTTCATCTAGCATTAGCAGATGAAGTATTGTCAAGCATCGAGGAGAAAAGACAGCTAAGGAGATATGGGATCATCTCACCAAATTGTACGAGGCCACATCGTTGCACAATAAAATTTTCCTTAAAAGGAAATTGTACACTCTCCGTATGTCAGAATCTACTTCAGTGACAGAGCACTTAATACACTGACACCTTATTTCTCAGCTTACATCCTTAAGCTGTAAAATAGGAGAACAAGAACGTGCTGAACTTCTACTTCAAAGTCTACCGGATTCGTATGATCAACTCATCATCAACTTGACAAATAGTAATGTCACCAGTCTAGTCTTCGATGACGTTACAGCTGCTGTTCTACAAGAAGAAAATCGGCGCAAGAACAAGGAAGACAAACAAGTAAATCTGCAACAAGCAGAAGCGTTGACAACGACGAGAGGGAGATCAACAGAACGTGGCCAAAGCAGCAGTCACAAACATGGTAGATCGAAGTCCAGAAGCAAAAAGAATTTAAAGTGCTACCACTGTGGAAAGAAGGGTCACTTGAAGAAGGATGTTGTAGTCTCAATAAAACTCCAATCCAAGGCAATACCGCAAACACTTCAGATGATGGAGATGCTCTATGCTGTGAAGCGTCAACTACCGTGGAAGGCAGAAAAAGATTTGCAGATATATGGTCATTGATTCAGGAGCAACATATCACATGACCTCAAGAAGAATGGTTCCATCATTATGAACCTGTCTCAGGAGGATCTGTCTATAGTTGCAAGATCATGCCTTAGATATCGTTGGCGTGGGAAACCATCAAATTGAAGCGTGGGAACCATCAAATTGAAGATGTATGATGGAACAATTAAAGTTGTTCGAGATGTACGGCACGTGAAGGCCTGAAGAAAATTTATTATCTTACGGATTGTTGGATAATAATGCAAGCAAGATTGAAACACAGAAAGGAATCATGAAGGTGTTCCGTGGAGCGCTTGTGGTGCTGAAAGGTGAAAAGATAACTGCAAACTTTGTACATGCTGAAGGGAGACTTTGCTAGAAGCAGAAGCCTCTGTTGCCTCATGTAGTTCAGATTCTGCAATGTTATGGCATAAGAAACTTGGACACATGTCAGAACAAGGAATGAAAGTCCTTGTGGAGCAAAAGCTACTTCCCAGCTTAAAGGTATCACTTCCTTTGTGTGAGCATTGTATAACAAGTAAGCAACACGGTTGAAAATTCAACACATCAAATTCTAGAGGCAAAAGTGTTCTAGAATTGGTTCACTCTGACGTATGGCAAGCACGGTCACATCCCTAGGCAGAGCAAAATACTTTGTCTCATTTATTGAACTACTCCAGGAGATGTTGGGTGTA